GTGTGAGTTAACAGACTTACTAATATCACAACTTTACCATTAAGAAACACGAGAATCTGATGGGTTATAATCACGTAGTCCAGTGTTCAGATTTGCATATCGTGGTCTTGTTTTTTGTTTTGCTTTATTTTGTTTTTTTGTTTTTTTTCAGCTGCACCCTCGATGGTGTTGAATGGTCTAAGAGCATGTAAAGAACAAAAACAGAATTCAAATGTAGACTTAGGCTACCTGCGACTGATATGAAGTCAAGTAGAAATGGGTGTCCAGATTATATTCATGATATTATTGATTAAAAAAACTCAAGAAATAAAATTGAACGAAATAAACTGTATTTATTACTAATAAAATGAATGGTGAAGCTATTTTCACAAGACTTGATCAGTCAGTAGGCGATGTAACTGGAATATAACTCAGATTAGGTTTGCAGCACAAGTTACTATGGCGATGTACCCCGAGAAGAAGTGAACCACTTTCATAGTGCAGAAAACCCAGGGGTAACCCCCAAGGTTTCTGGGATAAGCTAAAATCCTGCTGCTTCGTAGTACGGGCCTGGTGTCAACCAGCTGGCAAGGCTACTCTGAGCTCTGCATACAAACGCAAACTGAGAGCAGGGTTTCCCCAGATACTTTTGATAATTTTCTTGCTGCTGTGTTAGTTATCATGGTGTTTGTTCTTTGTGTTTAACAGAAAGGTTTTGATGTGTTCAATGCCTTGGACCTAATGGAGAATAAGGTGTTTCTGGAGAAGCTCAAGTTTGGGATAGGAGATGGAAATCTGCAGTATTACCTCTACAACTGGAAATGTCCCCCTATGGACCCTGATAAGGTCAGTCTCAGGTGGTAATCACACACCAACTATTGGTCAGCATCCTGTGATAAGACTCCATGACAATTAGTGGAAAAAGTGGAAATAGTCTTTGGTTCAGATCTCAGTAGAGCTGCTTCTTGTGCCTGATTGTGCAAGCTTCACAGTCAAATAAGTCTATAGCTTTGAAGCAAATCCACAGAGGCCTGATAAGGAGAAATCCTCCTCTGACATGATTAAGTATGCCTTAGATCATGGAAGCCTAGTTTTGATTGCAAAGATGTATCCTGGGAAAAAACACAGGACTTTTGGAACAATGTCCTTTTGACAAATTAGACCAAAGTGGAGTTTATCAGTGCAAACACCTCGTACCAGCAGTCAAGCACGGAGGTAGAGGGTGATGATTTGCACTTGCTTTGCTAGCCTATGATCATAAAAAGCTTGATCTGTGTGTTTCAGGTTGGCCTGGTCCTTCAGTAGCAGCTCTCTTCACGGCAGCTGCATAAACTCGGGAGGCTCTCAGCGATCTCTGGAAATACCTTACCTGGACACGCAGGTGGCCCGAGCTAGACAATGAGAACTGCGACAGTAAATCCAACCTGGCGCCCGAGTGGAGCTTTCACTCGGCACTTGTATCATCAAAAACATTCTCAGTTCACCCGGAGGTGAAAACTCTTAAACCATCCAACATCCTGAATGTGAAGTCATGCTATGCCTGAGATACTCATACGACACAACGCTCCTGACATAAGCGCTCACGTTTAAAACACACACACACCGGTCTGACACTCGAGGATGCCTTGACATTGTGTATTCTGTTTTAAGTTCTTCTTCCTCAGTAGACACCAATGGACCGGCACGTCATTTAACTTTACTTACGTGGAACTATGTAAATGATAATCAACTAAGCAAGCAAGACCTGACATAATTAACAACTGTTGTAATTTTATTTATCCTGTCCATACAGTTACTGTTCCCAAACCCCTTTCTTCTCCTCCTTCCTGCTCCTGCTGCACTTATTTTTGCTCCAGTTTCATATCAGTGCGGTCAGTCGAGTGTCTCTGCTGGCTGTTTTGGGCCTCAGTAGAATTAGAAATGCTGATCTTAACTTTTAAAATGACAAACTGCAAACACTGAGAGGGAGGAAAAAAGGATTCATCCCACTGGTGCATTGATATACATGTGTTTTGTTAAAGAGCATATGGTAGTTAATTGTACATTTAAAGACAGATCATATTTATTTGTGTAGTGTGAGTTTGAGGGGTTTGGGAGGGCTGATCCAAAGTATTCTCCTCATGAGTAGCTTAGAAGTCACCGAGTTTGTTCAAAGTGTTTGGGGGTTTGTTTATTTTTTTTAATGAATGTATTGCAGAAACGAAGCACAATTACTCCGTTCTTAAACATACAAAATAAATGGGTCCTCGTTTCAAATCAGATGGGATTGCCCTAGAATCTGAATAGCCATGGTTTTTTTATGAAGGACGGGCGCAGTTTTCACCTTATAAAACCGTTTCTAGAGCTGGCGTTTTTTAATACATTAAAACAACATGTTTGGTTGTACACTCTTTGTAGTAACAAACCCAAGCGTAGGGTTGTTTGCATGTCAGTGGTGTGCTGTCCAGTTAGTAAAGCTGTTCAGTTAGAAGTAATAGGAGCTGGTCTGGTCAGTGCATAAGCAGGGCAGTGAGAATGACGCCGGTGAACGTGGGGAAAAACTTCGATTTTATACAAAAAAATTTAAAGTTTCTGTTTAGAGCCAGGTTTAAAAAAAAAAAAAAAGAGGTTTATTTACTATGGAAGGACTCTGTTCAGCAGCGGTTAAAGCAAACAGGGCACATCTTCTGTTACTTTGGTCACTGCGACCCACAGCAGTGGATAAACTGCTCTGTGCTTATTAAACAAAGGACTTGTTTAATCACGGGTGCAGTGGCATCAGCTTGAAGTGTCCTCTCCTCCAGATCCGCTTTCATTGACTTCTCTGGGTTTATTTTTTTTAATGATACTGTATTTTGTGTATGTTTGTTTTTTTTCTACATGTGTTGTGCAGCTAAGTGCGTGAAACGGTTGTGATATTTATAACTGTACCTTCTTTTTTTTAATGTCTTACATCATTTCTTTCCTCCTTTTCAGTATTTAAAACAAACATCACTGTCAGATTTGTGATTTAAGAGCTGGATGAGGATCTTTGATAAAACTGTTTTATTTTTTGTCTGTGGTGGAGCTGCTGGTTAATTTAAATGTTTTAGTTCCTTAATGTTCACGGGGCTCTGCGTAACTTGCAAGGTAAAGAGGCTGCTTTTTATTTTAATGACTTTATTGTTAATATTTGATGTACTTTTCTAATCATCCCTTTATAGATTAGCCAGAAGAGGATAAATATTTGTCCTGTTGGTGCTTCAGGGCTCAAAGATGTTGTTGTTCTTTTTAAAAATCACTTAAAGGTTGAATGACGTTATCTTCTACAAATGTGTTCCTGGCATTAATTTAACTGAGAGTGGGTCGCTGGGTCAAAGCTGTGTGCCTCATGGATGTTGCTGTGTCACAGATGTGTTGCTTGCAGCTGTCTGAATGAACTCTGAGCATGTCTGTTTCGCTGCTGCATTGATTTATAGCATCAATGTTTCTAGCCACGCCCTTTAGCGAGAACTCTGTCAGAAGTACCTGCCTTATTTAAAGGTTGTTTTTTGTTTTTTTTGTTTTTTTGTTTTTTTTTTAGGTTTGGAGGTGGGGTGAGGGAGGGTGTACTTTTGAAATGTCATAAAGCTTTCTCTAACTGAAGAACAATATTTTTATTCGATTCCATTGTAAGCTGTGAAAAAGCTGAAGAACTTGTACCAGCATCATTTAGACATGACCCCATGCAAATAACAATCTGTTTCAACACACGTCGGCTATACCAGCATGGATATTTGATTGAATAAACTCACTTTAAAAAGGAACACGAGTCATGACTCCTTTGTGACGCACTGCAGGAAACACTTTTTCACAGCACATATTTTGAATTTAAGTATTTGTAATTCAGGCACCACAGTGGTTAGCACTATTGCCTCACAGCAAAAAGGTCCTCAGTTCAATTCCACCATCAGGCTGGGATCTTTTCTATTTATTAATACTAATTTTATTAGAAATAAGTAATGGAGCTGATATTTTGTTTGGGATGTGTGGTGTTATGTCTGTGTCTGCAGAGGCAATGTCATTTCCTGCAAAGGATTAATAAAGGATCTTTCTATCGATCTTAATCTTTCCCCTCCAGCCATCGATTTTCTGCTTATCCGGGTCACGGGAGCAGCAGTCTAAGCAGAGGCACTCAGACCTCCCTTCCCAGGAGGGCATCAAGACATTCCCAATTCAACCAAGTGATGTAATCTCCCAGTACCTTTGTCCATTTATAGATATTTACAGCAAACTAAACTTGGAAAATAATCATTAAGTTGGCTCATTTTTGCCTACCTGAGGGCTAAAACTTCTGCTTACATTTCAACATGAATGTACTACTACTTTCTACTTAGTACCCGAGTAATCCAGCAGAACAGCTCCAAGATGGTGGTGGTGTAAAGGCAGCCCTCTCTATGATATAGAGGAAATATATTTCATTTGAGGGTCAAATATTACAAGCTCCATTTAAAACAAACAGCACTATCAAAATACCAGGAAAAACGTAATTGCCTCTATAAAAAACAATGTGTGCAGACCAGCTTTAATTGTGGACAAATTGAAATTCAAACTTCAGTCAGGTATAAATATGCCCAAACGGTATATTTATTTTTTTTCTGTCCACCAAAGTAAATATGATTCAATAGATTTTTGTAATTCCACGAAAAATCACCTTGCCCGGTGGGCCGATGGCCAGTCCAGCTATGGTCATTACGAGGGAAATTTCTTTTGCAGTTTGACTGAAAAGATGGACTTGCGCTTCGGGATCCTTTAAACATCATTAGGCGCGTTGCTACGCGCTGTCTGTCCTGTCTGTGAGCTCACAAAGCAGCAGTTCGGGGATGAATGACGTCACACACATGGATCCTCTGTCGGAATATAGTAAAACCGAGGACGGTTGGTTAGTTGGCTTAGTCCTCCTTTGATCGAATCAAAGGATGAAAGGATCGAAGAGAGCTGACGTCATGGCTGACGTCACGGTCGCTGCCAGAAAAATCTATAAATAGACCCCAGTTTCTTTAACTCGGCATTTCAAGAAACACCTAGTTGTTTTCGCAAGCCAGGAATCCTTGGGAAAGAGAAAAGTTTAACACTGAAATTATTCAGTTAGCGGTTTTGTTTTGTTTTTTTGCGAAACTTTTATAGAAATGTCACAGGAACCGTCCAGCAATTCAGTGTCTCACAGAGAAACGAGAGAGGAAGGACCGTCCAACTCAGGGGAGAGAGGAATAGTCCAGGGCATGGAGCCCAAAAAGAAAATTCGCATAAGCGAGATAGAGGGGGTGCCCATAAACATAACACTGCAGATTGGAGCACTTGAGCAAAATGTGCATGAACTTGAGGAAACGCAAGAGTCTCTCCTTGAACAGAACAACACCATTGTTGTTCAGCTGTCCAAGGCTGAAAGCGAGAGAAATGAACTAAAGAAACGGAATGCAGATCTCGAGAAAGCTTTAAAAACTATTCAGTGTCAAATGGAAGAATTACAGTTTTCAAAAACCAAAAATGCTGCTGAACCTGAGGGACTTGAGACTCCTGTTGCTCAACCACCTCAGGATGAGGTTCAGGGTACTGGTATGTGGCATCGTGGTGCCAAATGCCTACTTAAAGTAGGTTTAGGTCTTGCCACAGCGGCCCTTATTGTTCCTGCAGCTTTCTGGGTCTTCTCAAAGATGTCCACCTGACGTGAATGACCCAGCTGCTCCCTGTGGCATTGTGTTTATAACTGATGCGCACCTGCGGACCACTTATGTGCACCCCTGTTTATAATCTTGTGAAAGACGCACGACAGACCTGACCATATACTCATGTTTTTCATCATCTACTTTTATTACTACAGGTTTACCACTACAGATGGCTGCAGCTTTGCAGCTCACAGCCACACACAGAAGCAACAACAACACAGCAGGACCTAGTTCAGCCTTTAAACCAGCAAGGCATGATTGCAGATTGGCGCTCAGGTGCGTCCACCTCCCCTGCTTTCCAACCACGGTCCACCAACTACACCAACCTCCGATAACTATGCCGTGCTCTCCTTTAAGTTTTATTTTGCCCCTCACCCCCCAACCAGTCGCGGCAGATGACTGCCCCTTCCTGAACCTGGTTCTGCCTCAGGTTTCTTCCTGTGAAAGGGAGTTTTTCCTGGCCACCGTTGCCCAGTGCTTGTTCATAGGGGATCATTTGATTGTTGGGGTTTATCATTTAAAATGTCATTTTATTTCAATTATTTCAGGTGAGGGGTTCACTTGATAGGGAGCACAAAAAGCTGCAAATATTAAAAAAAACAACAAAAAGTGTATTTAGCTGCAAATAAAAAATAAAAAAAAACAAATATTAAATTTCCCTACTGCTTCGTTTATTTACTTAAAAGAAGAGTTTTAAATTTTGTGTGATAGTGTCATGGCCCTTGGTCAAGTGATCCAGGGTTTATCTTTTGGACTGTGTGAATCTGGTTTAATTTGTGTCCTTTGATTTAATAGTATTCATGGTTCTGTTTCTCGTCTCCCATGTGTCCATGTTGCTTTTGTATGTCGTGTCTCTTTAGCAGTGGGCGGGCACATCCACGTCGCCGCCAACATACGTTGTATGATTAGACCATTTATATCATTTGACATCCACAGGACATAGAAGTTCGAAAGACACTGAGTCATGCAATACCTTTAATGAGAATACTGTCAGTGAACACTGATGAGCTTCTGCTTCTTTAATGAGCCATAATTCTCATTAAAGAAGCAGGTTGGCTCATAAAGTGCTCTGTAGTTATCTAATGCAACTGCCATTTGTTTCAGGACATAACCACAATCTGTAATCAACACAGGGTTTATTGAACTGTCGGGTGTGCAGACAACATGGCACGCATGAAAAATGGGTAAGGACATTTTGTGAACACTCATAGTTGATGTCTTAATTATGGGAATAGCTACTATGTAATTGATGCTTCCTATTCTATCAGATAAGGTGCACCTTGTGTGGAAGTTAAGTTGGCTCATTTTTGCCTATGAGGGCTAAAACTTCTGCTTACATTTCAACATGAATGTACTACTACTTTCTACTTAGTACCCGAGTAATCCAGCAGAACAGCTCCAAGATGGTGGTGGTGTAAAGGCAGCCCTCTCTATGATATAGAGGAAATATATTTCATTTGAGGGTCAAATATTACAAGCTCCATTTAAAACAAACAGCACTATCAAAATACCAGGAACAACTTAATTGCCTTTATAAAAACAATGTGTGCAGACCAGCTTTAATTGTGGACAAATTGAAATTCAAACTTCAGTCAGACCATATTCAATTGTATAAATATGCATGAAACCAAATGCAATGCTACTAATCTGCTGAAACAATGAATGCAAACCTGAAGGTCTGAGGGTTCCCCAGATAAAAAATACTTGGCAGAAAAGTCTAAACCTTGTTCCCAAAAACCTTTTTTTCTCTTTACGCTTCCAGAAATTCTTTATATAAACTATTCACATAAGTAATGTCCAGACTGAGGCTGCAAGCACTGTTCAAAAACCAAAAAATAAACAACACTGGAAACTCCTGAGCTAAACAGTCTTTAAAGTTTCTCTTTCACTTTACAGCTTTTTCTTCGGCTTCCCTTTCTTTTTCTTTGCAGGGTTAGCAACGATTCTCTTCACCTGGAGAGGCTGCAGAGTGCAGGAGGGAGACTCTGACACCTCCTCAGATTCACTTTCCAGTTTCCTTTTTTGTCCCCTTCTTTCACCACCTTCCTCCTCCTCCATGGCAACAGGTTCTTCAGGCTTAGCACCTTGCAGCCATGCCATGTCCAATGTAGGCACTCTGAGCTTAATGGCATCGACAGTGTCGGTAAACACCCCACCGTCACTGGAGGAGCACCATCTGAACCCCAGGGCGAGCACGCTTTTCAGCCCCAGCGGCTCCGACACACTCTGGCTCAGGCGAGGCACCTGGCAGGCCGGCACTCCTCTGGTGGTGCTCAGCGCAATCAGGTGATTAGTCATGTGTTTCGGTTTGACAGACTTGCACACGAGCAGCAGTCTGAGTTCGTTTCTCTCCAGAGCCTTGGTCACCTCGTTGATGCCGATGGCCAGCTGCCGTCTGGCTGCCACATCTGTCCAGCCGTTTTTGGAGGAATCGCTCACCTGGGGAACAGGTTGTGGTGCGACATCAGGTTTTTTGCTTTTCTTTTTCCTCCATGGGCGAAACACTTTCACTTCTTTTTTCTCCAGACCCATTGAGATCAACTTATCCTTCAGAGTTTTCAGGATGAAGTGCATGTCCTCTTGGGGGAGCGGGCTCCATTTTGAGGCAAAGGGTGAAGTGAAGGAGGTCTTGGCTGGAGTCTGCTTTTTGATTTCCTTTTTAGTCGGCTTTCCGGGAGCCGCCATGACTGTTTGGAGCATAAAACAACCGACACTGTAACAAAAGAGAGAAAAACTGCTTTAGAGTCTGGCAACCAATCACTGGATACTTTATTAAGTACACCCGTTCACCTGACTGGTAATGAAGGCAATCAGATGAGTTCCCTGTACTTAACCTCCACAATCACCAGATCTCAATCAGAGAGAGCACCTTTATGATCTGGTGGAACAGGAGAGTCACATCGTGTATGTGCAGCCACAAATGTAATGCTGTCATGTCAACATGGGTCACATGTTGATCCCCCAAGAATCTTTCATGAAGAAATAAAGCAGTTCTTAAGGCAAATGGGGGTCCAACCCAGCACAAGGAAGATGTATGAACTGGCCAGTAAATGTAAATAATTATTGATGTTAAATTAAAGCACAGAAATGCCAAAGATGAGTTAAACAGCTTACTCACATATAAAAAACGCATACCGAAATCTTTTTTATTTTCTTGTTTGTTTAAAAGGTAAAAAAAGTAAAAGCAGTAAAGAGTAAACACGACTAAGAGGAATAAAGTACATTTTAAGATGAGTGAATAAAATAGAAAAAACAAGAGCACATTTGTTAATTTTTTTTATCCATAAGTCAGACTAAACAAACAACGCCATTATACACTAATACGGTTAGTAACGTTTTTATTTCGCATTTCTTTAACCCACATGGAAATGTCGTTAAATTTCGGATCTTCTTCGGCTCTAATAAAAAACTTTTCGCTTCTGCAGAAGTGTTAAAAACAAACACAGCCGCCGTTACCTGTATTTAAAGCAGGTAACGCATTTCTCCTCGTCTTCTTTACAGCTTCAGCACAGCTGCATGAGAGACACACAGGGCGCTGCCATTTTGTTTCAATTTAAATAACTTTATTTAAAAAGCCCCACAGCGCCGAACAGCGGCGAAAGGGCGACACGACAGTCAAATCATCAAAGAGTCAGCGAAGGCAGTGAAGGTGGAGTTTAAGAGGCGGCGAACACTGTTATCTGACACTGTAGTGTCTGATGGAGGGAAAAGTGCATGAAGTCTCCTTCATGAATCCGCTGGAGTAAAAGTGCACGAGCACAGGAAATAGAAAGTAGGCTTTTCTAAACCAATTAATCAATTGGTTTAAATGCACTCAAAAGTGATTTTTTACACCAAGCAATAATATGAATAAAATGAAACATATAAAATAAAAGGTTTATTTATTCAAATACTTCATCGTTAAGGGAAATGTGTTTCGTATAAACTGAATGTGCACGAACCAAGTAAATTTCATTTGAGCAGACTCCAATAATTGAAACATTTCACATTGTACTTGTGGAACAAAAAAATCAAATCAAATAATAATAATACACATTCACATGTAATGAAATTTTGGGCAGATTTTAAAAAAAATATTTTTACATGGAGTTCTGTGTAGGAAGCATATTGTGGTAGAGGTTGTATTAATCCTGCTGAACTGATATGATTATATCTCCCTAAATTTATTACACTGTTGCAAATGACACGTCATAAAATCGACGTAGTCAGTGGACTAGGTGCCATAGTCCACCATATCTCCCCACTTTATTAAAGTCCGTGTGCGTGTGTGTGTCGCTGTGAGTGAGGGTGACAGGCAGCCAATCAGCACCTCCGCAGCTGTCTGCTCCCTCCCCCTGCAAGCCTCTGCTTGGCTCTCAATAGTGCATCGATCAGCTGTGCTGCAATTACTGCTGCTTAAAACCCTTCAGAGCAGGACATTCATCTGCGCTCCCAACCTTTACCAAGATGACCCTCCAGGTAAAATCCTGCGTTTCTTTGCTCTTTTATTATTGCTATTATTATCTATTAGATGCTACATTATCGCGATGAACCGAACAGCGCATGCCATCTTCTGGCCGTATGAAGTCATCCATCTTTGACGGCGTGGATGAAGGAAAGTCGTGCCTAAACGCGTTAATGCTCTCGGCTCAGTGGTCCTGATGCTGCTCTTAAAATTTAAAGATGTGCTGCTTAGAAGCAGAAAATATGAAAACATGATGAAAATTCACTAGATTCAGAGTTTGTCTCTATGAGAACATGCGGAGGTAAACTGGATCTATATGCAAACATCCGCTTTTTGACCAATGGTCAGCATTCAGAGCTGGATCATTATTTCAGCCGCACCTCAGTAAAGAGTTAAAAGGTATTTAGGTCTTTGCGCATATTAAAAATGGTTCCTGTGGTCTATAATTATCAGTTCTGCTGTGTCCCAGATCCTTTGAAAAGCAGATTATTTGAGTAGGCACACAGGCTCTGGTCTCATATAAAAGCCCATTGTTTATCTCCAGCTTGTGCAACAATCAGTTTCCCAGGACTGCCCCGTGCCTAGAATACCACACTCACATTTCTTATTCAGTGCTTGTAACTCATTAATATGCACACTCTCGTATTCGATGTAATTACTTTACATTCCTGCTGGACTTTATTGCAAAGAGAAGAAAGCCTCCAGTCCAGTGTTTTCCCATCGCAGACACACTGCTTATATTTTCTGAATAATTAATGGCAAACATAAAGAGTGTTCATGTCACCTGCAGGCAGAATTTGACAAGGCAGCAGAGGATGTGAAGAAGGTGAAGGCCAAGCCCACAGACGAGGAGCTGCTGTTCCTGTATGGCCTTTATAAACAGGCGGTTGTTGGAGACATTAACACTGGTAGGAACCGCTACAGAGAAACTGAATCACTCCCATAAAGAGTTCACTAAGTTCAGATTTTTTTTCCTTCTCTCTGTGTGCTTTCACAACTGTAGAGAGACCGGGAATGCTGGACCTAAAAGGAAAGGCCAAGTGGGACGCCTGGGAGTCGAGGAAAGGTAACGAGTTAGGAAAGCTTGTGATTGTTACATTTGTCCACGAGAACTAAACACTTTAACTGAAGGTGCTGGGAAAGTGATTCATTAGCAGGTTATAGATCATACAAGGATATATGAGACAGATATTTTTTGCCAAGTTTGCAGCTGGAACAGTTTTTGGTATTTGTCTGTACAAAATAAGGTAAAGGAATTGGTTCTTTTACACTACGAGCCACACACACACATTTACACTCCACTGGATGCAAGGACGCATGCAGACTGGAGGGGCTCCACCTCCTTGTTGCCTGTCTATTTAGTACTCAAAACCTGCTGAGTCCACAGGTGTAAGTCATGAGAATGAATTTTGTAAAACATGTTTATAGAGCATGAGTTCAACTGAGTTTTGCTCCTCTGCAAACATGGAGGAATCTGCTCCAAATGAGGTGTGTTCAGTGTCAACTAAGACTCACAGGAGGTAACTTTTAGGAAATTAGAAGTTAGTCATTGTCAAAACATCCAAATATTTTCACCACTTAGTTTCATCCAACATCACACGAACGTTTTAATTTTACTCACTTATTCATTGATTTTTTAAAAATGTATTTTTTAAAGTAAAATTACCCTAAAAAAATGTTGAGTTAAGGCATTTGCAGGTTAACATGATTTAGCTGCACACGAGCTGTTTCTGCAAGTCTGTGTTTAGTGTTGAGTACTTGAGAAAAAGGTGACTACACGCAGATTTTGTTGGGTTTTTTGTTGTAATAGGTTCATTTTTAGTGACATCACACTTGTGCAAAGAGTCAAAGGGTGGTGTTGAGCTCCACTCATTTCTTTGTATTTTTCTTCCAATGACTCAGACCATGTAAATGATCTTGAGCAATAGCTCTCCAGGCTTTCTGAAGGTCTTTCAAAGTTTGCCTTTGGACATTGTTTGCTCCTTTAACTCATTTTCAGTCCAGTCCTTGTACCTGACCATTTTCAGAGGAATTGTTTTATTTGTTAAGCAATTTAGCACTGAATCATTCAAGGAATAAAAAGTTACCTAACTCGAGTAACGATCGAGAGACAACTGATCAAAGTACCATTTTTAATCTTTATCTTTAGGCCCTTTGTTACTAGCAGCCTGTTGCACAAACACATCATTTGTTCACATGTCTTTTGCTGAAGCTATGAAAAAAGCCAAAGATAACACAGTTTTTAACAGAAGTATTCATGACACAGTTTATAATCTGGCAGCATGATAATGATCCCAAAAACACTGCACGCATATACACACAGATTTTTAAAAATCCAGTTTTTTAAAGTTTTATATCTTTACTTACACATTACCGTAACAAAAACACAACCCAGATGCCAGCTTCCATGGTGGTGATTTATCAGAACCTGTTGAGCTCATAAAAGGAAGCTTTTTAGGGTTTTTTTTAGATTTATTACCAATAAACAGACCTGATCTTATCTAAGCATCTTCATCATTAGAATCTCTCCCATAGTTTAACCAACTTTTCAGTGCTATATGGGAGAAAGGCTATGTAAGCATGTATACAAATAGGAGAAAACTCCTTTAAGATATTATTATTTAAGTCCAAATCACTCGTAATTTGAACTCTTTCAGGAATGTCCAAGGATGACGCCATGTCGGCCTATGTCACAAAGGCTAAAGAAGTCATCAGCAAGTACGGGCTGTGAGACGTCCATGAAGTGAAGAGGCAGCAGCGATGAAAACAGACTACTAATTCAGACTACTAAAACAAAGCTGCTCTTTACTTAAAAGAGCAGCTTTGCTTCCAGAGGCCATAATTCTGCAAAATAATGTGATTTAAAAAAAAATGTCTTTCTATCCTTGAGTTTTTGAATTACATAGCTCAATTGATTTATGCATTTTAACGATATCTATGCAGTCTTTAACATATTAATCTTTCTATATGTACTGCATACTGGACTTAGATTTGCAGCTTGAATCAAAACAGGACAATTTAAATGTTGGCAAATGTGAACAAACACGTTTTGAAGATTAAACCTTTTTCTGCACTGTTTCCTTTCTTTCATTTGTGCTTGTTTTTATTGAGAGGTTGATTTTTTTGCCTTCAGTTTCAGTTTAAAACAACCTGCATAAAATCTTTACACAGAGAAAGGATTTTAGGTTTTATTCATGAAGAGGCCCGACTATGGTCTGTGCAAACGATTACGGGAAGTTTTGATTGACATACAGTTATTCATACTTAAAAGAGTTGTCTTAGCTGGAACTACACCTGCAACACCTGCTTTGGTGCCAACCTAAGTGGACAACAGGTGCACTGGAGAGGCAACACCACAACCCTCAAAGTTCAAGCTGGTGGACACAGACGGTTGCTCTCTCCTCATCCTCCTTACTGGTTTCTTTCTAGTTTTTGTTTTGCTGGTGTCCTGACAGCTGCCGGCATCTTCGTGGCATAGATTCAACAATTTTCTGGAAATGTTTTAAAATAAGTCAACATCACACAGTTGCTGCAGATTTCCATGATGCAAATCTCCCACTGTACCACATCCCAAAGGTGCTCTCTTGTGTTAAGACCTGCTGACTGTGGAGGCCGTTTGAGTACAGTGAACTCATTGTCACGTTCAAGAAACCAGCTTAAGATTATTTTAGTTTTGTGACACAGTCCATTATCCTGCTGATCCATGCTTTCATGTTGTTTCATTAGACCAGCCAATGTTTTTCCAATCATCTGTTGTCTAATTTTGGAGAGCCTGTGCAGACTATAAACTATAGTTTCCTCAGTTTCTTGTTTATAGCTGACAGGAGCGGCATCTCGTTTGGTGTTCTGCAGCTGAAGCTCATCTGCATTTGGAGATGCTCTTCTGCATACAGTTGTTATTGCAGTTACAGTAGAGATGGCTGTGTCGGAAAATCCCAGTAGATCTGCATTTCCTGAAACACTGAGACCAGCCCATCTGGGATCAACAACCACACCACATTCAAAATCGCTTAAATCACCTTTCCCCCTCATTCTGATGCTCGCTTTGAACTCCAGCAGCTCCTTTTGTTCACGTCAACGTCCCTTAAATGCTTTGAGGTGCAGTGTGATTGGCTGATTAGATAAACA